TTTTACCACTGATATTTTTTTTTTTTAGTTTACTTTTTTTTTTTTTAAATTTAATTTTTTTTTTTTGGGGGGGGGGGTGTTTAGGTGGTTAAAATCCTCCAAAATAGATGTTTTAAACTTAAACCAAACTAAATGAAGCTTATTGGCCTACGTGTGGTTTTGATTATAAAGCTTTGAAAACGCTTTGTAATAATGGGTGCTCCTCTAAGACTAAGTACTACTAATAACTAGTATATATTTTCCCCATATCAAATAATATATCAATACGTAATCAAATTTGACGTTTTTAGAGCGAATCTGATTTGCCAGGGTAGACTCGGCCGTGGAGAAATATTCCCTCCCTCCCTCCCCCTCCCCTCCCCTCTCCCCCATCCCCTCCCCTCCCATTCCCCCCTCACCACATCATACCAGCCGTGCTGCCAAAAATTGTTTGAGAGATATGTGCTCCATGCACCGGTGTGGGAAGGGGGGGGGGGGTAAAAGGGGGAGGGTGGGAGAGTTTCGTTCCATTTCAAACGTTGTATGTTGTGGCTTGTTTAACGTGTATTGTTATATTGTTATGCATGTTTTGAGGCTTTCGTGACACAGGGGCTGCAGTCGAGGAGGATCCACACGGGTGTCTTAAACACTCTAGCTATAAGCTATGCAGTGTATCTTTCAGGCACCGCTCGGGGGTTGGGGGCTGGCAGTGTCGTCGTCCCCCCCCCTCACCCGGAGAAAGTCAAGTGAATCCCCGATCCATAGAAAAATGTGAACGACAATGAAACGAAACTATAGGCCAAGATATATATATATATATATATATATATATATATATATATATATATATATATATATATATATATATATATATATATATATATATATATATATATATTTAAACTACGGTACTAAATTTTAATTGGTATTATTCTTTTTTATTGAAATATTTGAAACAAACAAATATCACTACGTACAATATATTTTATTTTCCGAATATTTAAGGCTAATTTACATACAATATGTCGATTCCAAATACAGTATGGTTCCAAAAATGGGCCGCTTACGATTATAAGTAATTGTAACAAGGGGAAGAGACTGCAACCTGGTTAGAAAAATGCAAATAAGCGAAACAAAGTATGTGAGAAAACCTGGGGGGAAAAAAAAAGAACACATCACAACAACGAACGTATCGGCAAGAAGCCTTCATAAGCATACAAACAACAGTAAAAACGGCATTAAATAAAAAATAACACTAAGCTGTAACGTAGTGCCACTTTCCTGCACTTTTATACCTTAGTATTTTTAATAAAATGACGGAAATGGTGGAACGAATGAAAAATCGCTACGCACAGTATATTTGATTGAGTAAACATATATATATTTTTTTTTATAGAACCAGTACCTGTTTAATAATAATTCTTTTTTTTAAAAAAATTAATAGTATTAATTACTATTGCTATTGAAACATACCTAGTTGAAAGTCTAACTTTATGGGGGGAAGTGCGGCCTATACTCGGCACTCGGAAACATGCGGAATTAATCTAACCTTACATCGCTATAAATACCTCATATTTTGAATTAGTTCTTTTTAACTATCAACCGTGGCCAACATATATTGCGATGTGTACCTCTTAACTTTTCATTACGCTAGAAGATCAACTTTTAAACTAGGACAGAGTCTCAACTGTAAGATGCCAATCATGTTTTTTTTTTTTAAATATTGCCATTAGCAGTGTTCACATCTTGTTACTCTTCTTTTTAGGAGCCATCAATAATAACGTCATTCATAATCCATAAAAAAAAAAAAAAAAAAAAATCTTTTAAACTAGGACAGAGTCTCAACTGTAAGATGCCAATCATGTTTTTTTTTTTTAAATATTGCCATTAGCAGTGTTCACATCTTGTTACTCTTCTTTTTAGGAGCCATCAATAATAACGTCATGCATAATCCATAAAAAAAAAACAAAAAAAAAGAGGGGGGGGGGGGGGGGAAAGGGGCCGGCCCCCCCGAACAAAAGGGTTCCGGGAAAAAAAAAAAAAAAAAAAAAAACAAAAAAAAAAAAAAAAAAAAAAAAAAAAAAAAAAAAAAAAAAAAAAAAGGGGGGGGGGGGGGGGGGGAAAGGGGCCGGTACCCCCGATCAGATGCGTTCCGTGATAAGAAAAAAAAAAAAACTAAACCACAAAAAAAGCCCTGGTTATTAAAATATTTTTTGTCATTCATAAACAATTTCTACAAGTTGTCATTTGGATTATAGAAAAAGACCTTTTCTACAAAACAGTGTTTTTTTAAATTAATTTATTTTTTAATACCTGGTAAGAATTGGAAATATTTATAAATGTATTAAGTATAGGCAGTGGCGACGCCATCAAATTTAACATGGCGGGTCCTTGCAGGTCTTAAAAAAATTTGGCGGGTCTCAAATAAATGTATTAAAAATAAAATTTATTTATTAAGTAATATTTATTAATGTACTAACTTAACCCATTATTGACTTTTGTTGTCGATAAAAATTTAAACATATAAAGGCATTTAAAATGGAAGTTCTCTTGTTATGTAGTTTACGCTTAATGAGCATATATACAATATTAGTAACTAATAAAAATTGACCAGGTCGTTTGCCAGGTCCCAAGTTTTCTTACCAGGTCCTGGGACCCGGTGGGACCTGGTGTAGCGTCGCCACTGAGTATAGGCCTACTTACTTTTTTTTTGTGATGGCCTCCTTATAGTATATATATTTTTGTTTAATGTATTTATTAATGAAGCAGTTTGACGAAATAGATAGTTATTTCTTTTTTTTTAAAATTCTATCATAAACGATAAAACAAGAATACTATTTACTAAACAGCTTAAACCATAATACCAGTAATTGTATCGTATGAACACAACCGAGGTCAAGAGACCCCTAAGTTCCGTCGCTGTTCGATTAAGCGAAGAATGATGCCAAACTAAATGTTGGTATGATTAAGAGTTTATTAATTTTTTTTTCTTCTGGGAAATGGCTCAGTGATCCCCCCGCTCCCTTTCCACAAAGCCAATCAGTGTGACAGCACCGTCCCGGTGGCGAAACTGAGTTGGAACCAAACTAACACCCTAGGGCGGGGGGGGGGGGGAACTTTTTTTTGTGCGGAGGGCCACATTAAAAATTGTAAAACTATTTGGGGGGGGGTATATTGTGTATATGGACATGTCGATAAACATGTCTCGGTAAATTCGCGTTTTAGCATGACATGACAAAAGTTAAGGATTGTTTTTTTAAAAAAAAATAGAAAATTAGAAAGAAATTTCATTAAAAATGTTAAAAAATTCATAACGGTAATGAAATTATGTAAAATTCAACAAAAGAACAATTCAACTTAAAAACCAAGCAATTTTTTTTAAATTTCTAAATGCCTTCGATGGCGGAATAATATCAGTTTTCGGGCCACATGCGGCCCGCGGGCCGTAGTTTGCCCACCCCTGCCCAAGGGCACGCCACACCCGGATAGAATTTCAGGTTATATAGGCCATAACGCCCAATTTGCGCGATGATAGATCCCCCCCCCCTTTTTTCCCCCTGAAATCTTCCCCACTTCCCCCCTAAATAAAATGTTCTAAAAGAAACACTCAATTCAGGTATACACCAAACTGCAACCAGTGATTTTGAATTTATCCAAAATTTTCTTGGGAAGGGATGAGCCTTCAACATTTTTGCTGCTCGGTAGCCATCGGCTCCCTCGCTTTCTGCCCGCTTACCCTAAAACAAAATGACAGTCTCCGCACTTTTAGATCTAAAATGCCCCCCCCCCTCGCCACACATACACAAAGAATTGTCTGAAATTAACGCTGACTGTTCTTATGAGAAGGTTTGGTGATACCTTCATTCAATGACATCATTCCACTGTTAAATCAAAGCTTACTTGTCACGTTTCCGGACAACTGTGGACTCGATCAGTCCAGAAAGTCATGTAGCGGTCGTTGATTCAGTCAGTCCAGAAAGTTATGC